GTGTCTTTTGGCCATTTGAACTTCTTCTGTTGAGAGATCTCTGTTCAACTCAGTGCCCCATTTTATAATTGGGTTGATTAGCCTTTTACGGTCTAGTTTCTTGAGTTCTTTATATATTTTGGAGATCAGACCTTTGTCAGTTGCGGGGTTGGTGAAGATCTTCTCCCAGTCAGTGGGTTGCCTTTCTGTCTTAGCAACTCATATTTAATCCTTAAATTATTCCAGATTATTTTTCCAGAATTTCTTGAACCAACACTTTTTGAAGAGTCCATAAATAAGTCTTCTCCAAGAAGCCCATATTTAGAAGTAGTTTGTGTTAGCACTAACATACCTAGAAATAGCTCAGTCACCTCAGAAGACTCTTCCCACCACAGCAGGTAAAGTTAAACGTCATTGAATGAAGTGTCTCTGCAAACTGAAAGTTGAGGAATGAGTGTTTTAGAAGCAATGAGTATTGAAGTGAGAGTCAATTTTTTCTGTTGTATCCTAATTGAAAGACAGCGTCCTCCTGCTTTCACTGGTCCACTTAAATCTGCCCTTAAAGTATTAATAGTACATAATATATCTATGTTTTCACATAAGTCTCTACTACCAATATTTGTCTTCATTATAAAACATAATTATTTTAAGTGCCCTATATCTGTTTGCCAATGAAAAGCAAGATGTTTTGCTGGAATCATCCTTGAAGGATACTTCTATGAAAACAAGATTAGTCACCCTGATATATCTAATATACAGAATCTCAAATGTAGTGGTACTAAGTCAATGGAAACTTGGTTTGCTGTGTATTTGAAGTAGAAAACACACATGGTTTTTTAAACTAAACTGATTTGTGAGCCAGAATAAAGCAAAATAAAAGCTCAAGTCAATAAATTAGAAGCCAGGTCATATTTTTTTCCCATCTCATCTTGATCCATTACTGAGACAGTTGGCTTCGACTCTGCCTGAGGGTTGCCCCTTGGGCTAATTTCTGACCTGCAGATGAAGAGCTGAACATTGTTAATAAATTTAATGTTTTAAAGTCAGGATGACTCCACTATCTATTGATGTCATTTCCCCTGGGTGTGCAAAAAAAATCACAACAGTAGTGAAGTTCTGTGTGGTTTCCTAAACGTCCTGGAAACTGGTGGTCACTGCACTAGAGCGGAGGCTTCTGAGAAAGACTGATCCCAGGGGAAATTGGCCAGTTCTGGGAAGAATGCTCACCCCAGGCTGAGAAGATTTCCTGAGCATGTGCCCGGAAGGTGTCTACAAAAACTCATGTGCTGCCAGTGCTTCCCAATAGTGAGGGTAGAGACAGTCTGAGGATGGAAGCTTTAGTTTTCCTTTTAATTTCATAGAGTCAGAATAGAACATTTACCAGAAACCAGAAGAGATACTTGCCATAGTTCCATTGAAAAAATACTTTGTTGTCTGTTTTCCAACTGTATAGATGTAACTAGAACTGATTAGTAGTTGCTGCCTTGGATACAGGCCAGTTCTGAGTCATGCCACTATCTTTGTTACACCGATACACATGTCTATACTGAGTATCATGATCCTATTCATAATTCTTGTATTCTGTCCCCTGTTCCTAATAATATCTTACTCAAGCAAGGCCTCACTGTTAGACACCATCTCTGGCAGCATTGCCTCAAAATTTGGACAAACATACTATCCTGCCACAAATGAGGCTAATGAGTTGCAGTGTCAAAACTCATAGATGTAAATTGTATAGCCTACGGTACACAATGTATTTTGAAATGTGTATGCATTGGTTGCAGGTGCCAGATTCTTGCTAATCAGCATGTCAGACATCATATGGTTATAATTTTATGATGATATTTAAAAACCAGGTCAGTAATTTTTCAAACAATATTATTTTACGTATCTTGGGTCTCTGCTCACTATCTCTGCATGAGACTCCCTGGGCTCATGTTCCTCCCAATTGGATGTTTTTGTCATATGAATAGTATTTTCGGGAGCTGTGTCACCCCTCCAGTCCCTGGTTACCAGAATCCTCTCTGTGCCCATATGACTTCTAGTCTATCCCTAAGCAAAGTGGCCTCACAATTTATCCACAGTGTTGCAAGTGAAGGAGATCCCTCTGGTTTCTATAAATGGAGACTATGCATTCATTTCCCAGCTGTTGAGACCTGAATAATCACACAAAAACTATATTAATTACAACATTGTTTGGCCAATAGTTTGAGCATTTTCCTAGCTAGCTCTTATATCTTAAATTGACCCATTTCTATTAATCTGTGTATTGTCATGAGGCTGTGGTCTACCAGTAAGTTTTTTCTGCATCTTTCTCCTTTATCAGCTACATGGTGTCTCTCTGACTCTGCCTATTCTCTTTCTCTATCTCTGTTCTGATTTCCTACCTGGCTTTACTCTGTTAAACCATTGACCCAAACAGCTTTATTTGTCAACCAATAAAAGCAACACATACAGAAGGACATCCCACATCAAGTTTCCGTCCTGTGTGTGCTCTACACTCTTTGGTCCATATTTAACTGTTGTAATTCACTTGGTTCTGTATCTTGCTTGTAATTTCCGAAGTTGAAAATACACACATCACTCTGATATTAATTTCTACTTCTTTGATACACACGACCAGCTGGGATACTGGGGCATATAATAGTTCTTTCTTAAAGCCCTGAAGACTTCCCTTGTCATTTCCCACAGTGGTTGTGCTAATTCATAGTTCTGCCAATAGTGCATAAGAGTTCCTTTTATTTCTGCACCCTCACTAAACCTTACTTCTTTTGTCATATTACAGCTGTTCTATGACATAATTAAACATTTTTATGGTTCTTTAAACATATTTTAATAATTCTTTTAGAATTTATTTTAATAATTATGATCACATCCTTTCCTACTTGCCCACTAGTTCCTTATCATAAATTTATTAACCCCTTCACTTCTCTACCCCCAAATTTCATATCCCACTGAGTCCTACTTCTTTTTTAAGATTTATTTATTATATATACAGTGCTTTCCCTGAATGTATGACTGAATGCCAGAAGAGGGCACCAGATCTCATTATAGATAGTTGTAAGCTACCATAAGTTTGCTGGGAATTGAACTCAGGACCTCAGGAGGAATAACCAGTTCTCTAGCCTCTGAGGCATCTCTAGACCCTATATTTCTGATACCTGTATATGCATGAGTTTGGAGACATCCATGAATCCCATGGTTGGCTTACCAGATGACACAGTCTTAAGAAAAGTTGTCTCTCTCTTTGCTAGACTCTATGAGCTATCCTTAGCTCCTGAGTTAGGTATGAGACCTCATGAGCTTTTCCTCCCTCTATGCTGGAATGTTTACTGGCTTCATCTTGTACAGGTCTTATGCAGACCATAAGTTCATGAGTACAGTTTTTCTATCATGACCAGAAGACTGTGTTGTGTTCATATCCTCTCTGATTCTCAAGATCTTCTGATATTTCCACTTCTTCCTCCATGATTGTCACTGAATCTTTGGGAGAAGATGAAATAGTTGTCTCATTTGTGACAGAGCATGCCACTGAAATGTATTCTCTACAGTCTGAGCAGTTGTGAGATTCTGCATCAACACTGGTTGAGATTTCATCTGTCTGCTTCCATTGACATGTCTGCTCTTGAGAATGTCTGTTTCACCATTTCATCCATTTTTAAATCTGACATCGGTCTGCTCTCACTACAAGCTGTCTGTATTCTTTGTTTCTGGATCTCACATGTTTTCTCCCTTTCTATAGACTGTCTCTTTATTCTGGAAATGTTTTCTTTTCTATACTGAAAGTTTGGAATTTGAAACCTCATTTGTCTATTTTGGGAATCTCGGGATGCGGCTTTTTTCTAGTACTTAATGAAAAGCAGAGGCCCTGATAGTCAAATGTGTTTCTAAGATGATTGCACTGTAGCAGGCCTGGTATGAACTCTACTTCCCCTTCTCCTTATCTCCCACCCTTGGTACAGCCTCTTAGAAATTAACCTCTTAAGTTAAGAGGGCCAGAAAATGTTTGGCAAACTCTCATTCTCTGTTCCATCTCTGTGTCCCCAGTTCTAATCATTGTCATTTTGGTTTCTTCACATTTATTTATCTCTAATGTTTACTTATGGTTCTTTTCTTTCTTAGCCACTGCAATTTCTCCTTGAGTTTGTGGTTTTTGGCTATCTTACTTAATTCTGCTTCCTAGAGTATGCCATGGTGAATGTTCAGAAAGAGGAATGAAATACAGAAATTCACGAAGAGTCAGGTAGATAAGAAAGAAACTGTTGATGGGCAACAAATATGTAACATTGGTTTTATAATAAAATTGGTGGATTTACATCATCTGTTCACTGTGGTACAGATGTTTAAACAAAGACTGACCGCTAGGGATTATGGGGGAACGTCTACAAATTATCACTGTCTTTGGTGACAGTTGTGACAATGAGACAGAATTATGTGTGGTTTCAACACCTTTTATCTTCTTAAAAAAACAAATTTTATATCTATAGCATTTCTTTTTTAAAAAAAAGTCTGTACTATAGAAGGTGTAAAATTTCAAAGTGTAAAATTCTCTCATCTGCATATTCTGTGCAAACCACAGTAGTCCATAATATCACCCTCCTTGCAGGCTGCAGCAATGCTTCAACGGTTAGGAGTACCTGTTGCCTTGCAGAGGACCCAGGTTCTGTTCTGAGCAACTACACGGCAGCTCACAGCGATCTGTAATTACAATTTCAGAGGACCCAACTTTTTCTTCTGAGCTTTAAGGGTGCTGTATGTGAAATAACTGTGAAGGTTGACAAGGTGGCCTCTAGGCATAATCTTAAGAGAGTTTATGCTTAACCTTGTCTATGACTTTAATGGGCTATCTGAGACCTACTCTGAAACCATTAACTACCAACAGCCAAAATATAATCTCCTGTGGATTGCTGCATGTGTCCCTTTGTTTATTTCGCCTGGGTAACAACCATAAAAGTCATTTTGTTGATGTTTTCCTTCTGTTGCTAATTTGGACTGCTTTTATCTTGGTGCTGTTTAGGGTTGGTGCCAGCGTTCAGTTCTCCTGTGAGGACAATTATGTGCTCCAAGGTGCCAAGGGCATCACCTGCCAGAGAGTCACCGAGACCCTTGCAGCATGGAGCGATCACCGACCCATCTGCCGAGGTAAGGTACCCACTAGGCAGACAAGACTCTCCCCAGGGCACGATGATCTCTTGAACACAGGGTGACATTTAAATGGAAAGCAGGGAAGGATTTGGTAATGTGTGTGTCTTCATAACAATGTGGGTCAAAAGAGTTTGTTAGAAGGTAATTCCTTTAAGGCTTTCTTCCACTGCAGGACAGCTCTGAGTAAAGCTGGTACTTTGATTTCAAACAAGTACACACGAGCACATACACATGCACACACACATGCACACACACATGCACACACACTCATGCACACAAGCACACATGCATATACACACATGTGCACATGCATGCACACACACACAAGCACTCACACATGCACATAGGCACACACAAATGTACACACATACCATAAGTTGGAAATTCTCTTCACCTGTGCACAGTGGTGTATGTACATAAAAACATGTTGCAAACATTAAAGTCTAGACCTTCAATGGCCATGACTTTGGATTTGCCGTCTGGATGGAATGAGTGATAAAAAGAATTTATCAGCATGGTCCCAGATTTATTTAATTTTAACTTTTACTTATTGTTGTGCATGTATGTGGGTGAATATGAGCCCACAGAACTGGCATGGTACTTGTGGGACTCTAGGATAACTTTCAGGACATAGTTATATCTTTACAACATGATAGTACTTAGGTCTTCAGTGTGATAACTTCACTGCCAAGTTATCTCACCTGCTCATATGATTTTACCTTAAACTATACTCTGATGTGATTTGCCAAAGAAAATATTCACCATCACCATTGCCAGCTTTCTTCAAAGGATATGCATGAAATTAGACAGAAACAAAATATGAATGCTCCACTTTTATAAGATACACGAATCCTGCCTGAAATTTGGAAATCACATAAAATCCAACAGAAACTTGACTTACTGTTTTAACGGGGAAAATGTTTTTTTTTTATTTTTATTTATTTATTTATTTATTAAAGATTTCTGTCTCTTCCCCACCGCCGCCTCCCCTTTCCCTCCCCCTCCCCCAATCAAGTCCCCCTCCCTCGTCAGCCCAAAGAGCAGTCAGGGTTCCCTGCCCTGGGGGAAGTCCAAGGGCCACCCACCTCCATCCAGGTCTAGTAAGGTGAGCCTCCACGAAAATTTGGGCTTTATATCTTTTTGGCATCTATCTCATAATAGCCTGTATTAACTGATAGTTTTTAGGAAAAAGGAAAGCATTAACTGGACCAAGGAATGTTTCCTGCATAATAATGTCTATCTTCTCCTTTCAGGCAGACATTGATGCATGTGTGTGCACAGGTGTTTTCACCCGTACATGCATGTGTGGAGGCCAGCGGTCACTGTTGAATGGCTTTCTTAATTGTTCCCCACCTTAATCTTTACAATGGAGTCTCTTAGAGCTCCCCTCCCCCCATGCCCTGGGATGTGTTTGTCTCCGATTACCAATGGTGGGTTCTTGACAAGTCAGACCTGACTTCGTCATGGATGCCGGGAGTCCTTTAGGCTTGTACAAAAAGAACTTTTAACACTGTGCCATCTCCCCGGTCCCTGATCCTGTAGCCTTCTAAAAGGATTGCTTTTATCTTCACTGTTTTCCCACACAGTCTGCACTGCTTGCCAGTCACACCAAGAATGTGCAAGGGGCCCTGTCCTTAACACTGTCTGCAGGAAGAAGCCTGTCTAACTCTATTTCTGGTGGACTTTGGGAACTTTTTGATCATGGTTTGGAAGAGAACAGCCCTCTCAAGGAATTTAGCCCATTGTTTTATTTGGTTTTGCGCGTTTCATTTAGAAACACCCCAGCTGTCTCTGATGCACCCATGGCTTCTGCTGAATTATTCCCTTTAACCGTGGAGATAAGGTTCTTTCTAACTCGAGCTAGGTTTTAGGGTTGTTTTCTCACAGAAGATGTAGTTGGCTGGCACTTGTCTCAGCAGACAAGAAAGTCTTCAATACTTTTCAGATAATTCCTTCCTGTTATAAAAGGGGGAAAAAGTGAAATTAGACTAGTCTTGGTCTATTTTAATGTAAATTTCTAACCAACATCTCTTTTGAGCACAGTTGAAAAGCTAATATTTTAAGTAAATAGAAACTGCAAACATAAAGTTCCTTCAGATTCAGCTGCACATTGAATTTTCTTTTACGTTGATTCCTGTTCTGAAATCCATCTGAACTCTTTAGTATGCATCTCCTGCATCCAATTAATTCCACTTATTTATGTATTCGATATTTAATTAACATAACATTGTCCCAACTGGCAGAGTGCTGAGATGTTTCTATACGTGGATTTGTGAGTAACATTCACGTCGGGGTTAACACAATGGCTTTCCTTAAAACGCAGCCTCTTCCACCCTCAGCCTCCTGTGTGCTGAGATCACAGGCATGAGACACCCTGTCATTACCCCCATTACACCATTGAAAACACACAGCAAAGCTTGTCATTTACTGTACACACTATCTACAAGAACTTTACTAAGTAAAGCTTGGTGCCTGCCGAGCATCTCCTCCCCTCCCTGCCCTGGCCCCACTCTGCCCTCTGGAGATGAGGTCAGCTCTTCCCAGACTCCAGGTATGAGCAGAAACACCTAGTCCTTGTGCTTCGGGGCCTGCTTTGTTTCCCTCACCACAGTCTCCTCCGGCTCCATTCAAAGAAGTAGCAGAATCCTTCTCTGCCTTGGCATCTGTTGAGAGGACAATCAGAAGTGTTTATAAACATCTGTGGAGCCTTTGGAGAGAGCAAAACATCCTCTGAAACAATTCCTCAGTCCCGTGCCTTGACCTTTTCGGTGGTTGAGTGTTCCTACTTTACAGGGCTTAGCCTGCTTTTTGTGGGTAACTTATCAGTGGGGCCCTGTGGTCACACGCTGTTCTCCTTCTGATGACTCCAGCAGTTTTTCCCAGATATGAAGCATCTCTTTCCTTCACCCCCCCCCCCACACACACACCTTATTATAAGAAGCAAAACGAATGATACACCAAGTTCACACATGGCCTGTGCACCTCAGCTAGATATCCAAGTTTGTCAGCACGTGAGAGGCTGGAGCCTACTGATCTCAAATTTAAGGATAACATGGGCTAAATAATAAAACCCTGCTTCCCACATGGTCCCCCTGTTTCTGAGTTCTATAGAATCCTTCAAATGCTTATTTCTACCAGTTCAAGGCCACTGAAGTTTCTTCCACTTGGTTTATCGAATTCTTGCCCCCCCCCCATTTTAAATCTATCTTCCAGTGTTTAATAGCAGCACCTCAAACCACACGACAGACTCTGTGAGGCAGAAAATAATGCCCGGAGGATGGGCAGGAGTCTGTGGGTTTAATTCCTGGTACTGGCCCGCAGAGGTGCTGGTTTGGCTACCTATGTCTAATGGCTGAAGGCTGTTCAGAAAGCACAGTATCAGCAAACAGGCTGGGGTCCCAGGGACCAATCACCTGTTATCCACAGACAGAAGTCTTTCTCTAAGAGAGAGTGTTGTTTAACTTCTAGAGAAGACATGTAAGCAGCTGTCCAAATAGTGCACCAACCACAGACCAAGGGAATGCTTGAGCCCAAAACTAGGTGGATGAAGCAGAAGATTGGGCTTTCTTCCAGGAACATGGGTGACTCCTGGAGCTACAGTGCGCAGAGAGAGGCCAACCAGGAGAAGCAACCAGGGTGTTAAAGTCAGCACCAGTTCACCCCTTCTCCCAGGTTTCAGCGGGTGGGGGTAGCTTCAGTGTGATGTAATCTCAGTTGATCTCACCTGTCTAGGTTTGTTCTGGAAAAACTATAGCTCTTTGCTTCCCATCACAGATAAAATTCATAGTACGTGCACATGCATGCACGCACACACACGCAAACACATACAGATTTTGTAAATACTGAACAGCCATATCTAACCAGCAAAATGAAATGGGTGAATTTAGCTTTGTTAATAAATTTTTATTGGACACAGGTACTGAAATATTACCTGCACATCACTAAACAGCACTATGCCATGGAAATACATGTGTATCGATGGTTCCGACAAGCCTGCTCTCAGACCAGCCACACTGGACAACCCAGTGGCTCATGTGTTGTCCAACACTGCTTTCGCTCCATGTCTACCCTCCCTGGTTTCCTTCCCAGCCCTGGAGAGTCATCATCACCCCGTGGGTGTGGAGAGGAGACATCTAAGTGACTCATAATCCTTTTCCCACCTGGCATCCCCACAGCTCAAAGTACTCTCTTTGATTAAAATCCATAGGTCTTCTAGGCTGTCCATTTTTAAGCGTGGAGATGCCCTCGTTCTCTCTGAATTGGCCCTTTACGCACTCCTGATGGCTGACTCACCCATGGGGAAGAGCTGAAAAGCAGGCTCTTCTCGATTTCTATAAAAGGATGATGTCCGGTCTCTAACACGTACAGAAAAAGTGGATGTCGCACTCTTTAAAGTTCAAATAGTTCTGAAAATAGACTGTAGAAGCATTTGCCAAAGTATGAGTAGTAAGTTCCATGGGGTTACAGTGTCCTCATGCTAACTGGAGGGACATTTGGCCAGCTGTGGGCAGTTCCCTACAGCAAGGGCAATGTCTCAGGTACATTCGTGACACCATTTCAGGAAGTTGGTAGGCAGAGAGCAGCCTGGTGTGGATCCTCCCAATTCATCCTTGGATCTTATGCCAGCCCACGGATTAATTACGTCAGGCACATGTCAGTCAGAGAAAAGAATGAGTGCTCTGAGCATTGAGACCAGCATCAGGGTATTTAAGGTCATAGGTCAAGCAAGGCCTGGTCCGCATGGTCCCCTGCTCTACAAGGGGTCTCTAACTATTAGGTTATATCCAGCCTTCTCTCCTTGGGGAGTGTCTGATTGAAGCAGCTGATAACACACAGTGAGTCAGGAGTGACCCTGTGTCTAGAAGCTGGTGTGGTTTGCCAAAGCTTACATTATCTAATTAGCCTGGAGGCCTGGGGACATTACCTTTCCCTTCAGTTACCAAACAGATGAATGTTGTCACAGCTCAGTAATTACACAAGGGATTCCATATTCCATT